CGTATACCACGTACAATTATTCTTCATTATTCACCATTTAAAGCTGGTTGGGATTGGTTAATATTATTACTTGTTATATATACTGCTATAGTAACACCATATACAGCAGCTTTTTTAATGCATGAAGATGGACCAAATAAACAACGTTCACGTTCATCACGTGCATTAAATGTTATTGAACTTATTGTTGATGTTATGTTTATTATTGATTTATTAGTTAATTTACGTACAACTTATGTTAAACATAATGAAGAATTAGTAACACGTGCAAGTAAAATTGCAAAACATTATTTAAAAGGATGGTTTTTAATTGATGTAACAGCAGCTATACCATTTGATATTTTATTTTCATTATTACAAACAAATGGTGGTGGTGAATCAACAACATTAATGGGTTTATTAAAAACAGCACGTTTATTAAGATTAGTACGTATAGCAAGAAAATTAGATCGATATTCAGAATATGGTGTTGGAGTTTTAATTTTATTAACGGCTACATTTGCATTAATTGCACATTGGCTTGCTTGTATATGGTATGCTATTGGTCGTCTTGAACGAAGTAATCAAGGTATGTATATCTAACATAATTTCCACAATAAATCGAAACCCTTTAGAAGACAATAGAAAATTTTTGTAACTCTGTCAATATTTATTGACATGTAAAACAAGAGAATATATAAAAGAGAATATAAATTTGATGAAATCTGTCAAATGTTGTACTTAGCTTTTGGCTGTTATTTGATTATCAGAAACTTGAAAGGTACAGTATACAAAATGTATATTAGAAATGTATGTGAACAAATTTTAGTTTTTAGTCATGGTGACTGGAACTACGTTAATCAGAACATAATTCTGTGTTTCATGAAACTTATATCAGTCAATAGAACGTGAGACTCTAAATTTACTGAACCCAATCTGAACTAAAAGTTCAAACAAATAAATGTTCAGAAAAATAACTTAAGATGAAGTTGTGATCAATGTCTGATGATTCTAATCAGTTCAAAATATGTAGTCGAGCTACATTTAACTTCATTTTGAAACATTTATTTGATTGATATTTTGGCTTAGAGTGAGATCCTCTATATCCAGAATTTCAAGCTCTATCGACTGATATATGTGTTAAGTAAAACGGTTCTCAGAGTGAATTTTATCAATACTCAAAAAAATTTTTATCCTAAATATTACTAATCTGTACGCCATTTAACAACTATGAATTTATTGTTGGGACAAATCATTATTTTCGCCAAATGCTATGAATCAGCTAATCAACAATATATATATATATATATCACAAAATATTGTGATGTGTTCTTATTGATTCAATTTATTCTTCGAAATGTTTTCTTGAAGACTTTATTTTGAAATATTTAAGAGACTATATGCGAAAATTTCTTCATCATCTAACCCAACTGGTTAGCAACTAATAAGAAGCTACGTGATCATTTCGAAAGTTTGTCACTTGTACAGAAAAATTCGTTTTTTCCATCATGTTTCTTTTGGTTGTCTTATATCCTGATAAAGTTTCCTCGTATGATTAACATGTTAATAACTATCAGATTCTATAATGACAGACTTATTGATAAGATAATTTGATTCAATCCTTCTTATCTTTATTCCTTGAAAAAATATCTCAATGAATGATGATTAATTTTCTTCTTCGAAAATATCTTTTATTTGAAAAAGATTAGATAAAACAAAATAAAATTAAAAAAAAGCATATGTTGCCTATTTTATCTTAGGCAATGAAAGATTGATTGGTTGGTTAGCTGAATTAGCTAATCATACACATCAATATTATAATGATTCCGATCCAACATCTGGTCCAACAAAAACATCAAAATATATAACAGCACTTTATTTTACTTTTTCTTCTCTTACATCAGTCGGTTTTGGCAACGTGAGGTTCGCTAAATTTTCTATCCCAAGATTTCTTTTTTTGTTTTTTCTTAAATTTAATCTTTCTCTAGCCCAAATACGAATAGTGAAAAGGGTTTTTCAATAATAATCATGCTCGTAGGATGTGAGTTTATTGTTTTCTTTGTCTTTCGTTTTGCTTTAGTTAAGTTCTTCTCTGTTGTCCATGTTGTGTTGTTTTGGTGTTTGCTTAGCTTATTGTTTTAGGATCACGCATAACATGGCTCGATGAATTAGCACGTATATCTAATCAACCATATAATTGTTCATCAGTATTGATTTATAACAGAACAAATTTAAGTAAAGAAATATGCCATGGTGGACCTAATCTTCGTTCACAATATATCACTGCTCTTTATTTTACATTTTCATCTCTAACAACAGTCGGATTTGGCAATGTAAGAAAGAAATAGAGCGAGAGAGTGTGTGTGTGTGTATTTTGTATTAAATGAATATTGAATTTTTTCTTTTTATTTATGTATACACAGGTTAGTCCTAATACAGATTCGGAAAAAATTTTTTCCATTTGTATTATGTTAATCGGATGTGAGAGAACGCATGACAATATTTTATTTTTTTAAAGCATGCGATTGTTGTTGCTTGATGTATATCTTTGATATAGGTTATTGTCATATTGTATAAATTTGTGTTCCTTCTTTAGCTTTGATGTATGCCAGTATATTTGGTAATGTCAGTGCTATTATTCAAAGACTTTATTCGGGTACAGCTCGATACCAAATACAGATGTTAAGGTATGTTCATAAATACTAAATAATATTTAATAATCTCTACGGTATCATTCTATACATAGAGTTAAAGAATTTATTCGTTTTCATCAAATTCCAAATCCACTTCGGCAACGATTAGAAGATTATTTTAATCATGCATGGAATTATACTAAGTAACAGATAATATTCTAGTTCTATTACTTTTTAATGTTTGTTTTTTTTTGTTATAGTGGTATTGACATGAATATGGTGCTTAAAGGTTTTCCTGAATGTTTACAAGCTGATATTTGTCTTCATTTAAATAGTCAACTACTTAAAAATTGTCCTGCATTTAAAGGTTAATCAATATTTTATTTTTTTTTTACTTGTATTTATTTGATTATTATTATTATTTTTAGATGCTAGTGAAGGTTGTTTACGAACATTTTCAATGAAATTTAAAACAACACATGCACCACCTGGTGATATAATAACACATCGTGGAGATATATTAACATCATTATATTTTATTTCACGTGGTTCAATTGAAATATTAAAAGATGATAATGTTGTTGCTATTTTAAGTATGTTTGATTTGTAATTATTTTATATTTATTTATTTATTTATTTTGTTAAGGTAAAGATGATATTCTTGGAGAAAATCCTGTATTATATAGTGAACCAGGAAAATCTGCATTTAATGTTCGTGCATTGACATATTGTGATTTACATAAAATTTTACGAGATGATTTACTTGAAGTTATTGATATGTATCCTGAATTTGCACAAAGTTTTTGTCAAAATTTAAAAATTACATTAACATTACGAGATGTAAATTATAGAAATTTTTTTAATTTAAACAATTATTTATTGTTTTCTATATTTAAAGGAAGATCTTGTTGCAAAATCCAATGAATGTCGATCAAAATATCTTCCAAGTCAACAACAATATCGAGGAAGTTAGTATTCACAAAAAAAAATAACTATTTTTTTGTCTAATTTTATTTCGTTTGATTTAGGTAGTAATCGAACAGATGATGATAATGCGTCACTGATGGGTCCACAATTCGATGAATATCCTAGTGGGGCGGGTAAAAAAAACTTTTATTGTTTTTAGCTTCAGAAAATTTCTCAAAGTGTAAAGAGCTCTTTGATATTCTATGCTATAAGTTATCGCATTTTATAATGATTTTACTAGAAAGATATTGATTCTTACAAATATAGAACTGATGTATATATTTTCATATTGTTCAATAAGATTTCTCGATTGATATGAAATAAATTTTTCAGTTAAATTTAATATTGAAGTTTTTTTTGAGACAAATCAAAGTATGAAAGCTGAAGAAGAAAATTTCAGCTATATTAGAGCTAGACAAAGTCGTCTCTCTGTTTTTGGGATTGAAGTCGCTCCCAGGTAAAAAAGTAATTGTGAATTATGTGAATCATTGAATTTCATTTGTCTTATGTTATGCAAAGCTAGATATGTTCTCAGTCATTGTTTACATATATTTTTGAATTACTAATGTACTTTTTTTTGTTTAAAAAGTAAAGAAAGCAATGCGTCGTTTTTCATAGAAATGTTTCCGATTTCAAATTTTTCACGTCTAAGAATCGGAATCGGACATATAGATTTCTTTTGGGATCACAATTGTCAATATGATTCCTATCTGGAATTACGCATTTCTACTATTGACATTATATAAACATAACATTAGCTTACAGTTTGACAGCCGAAAGACATGTCATTAAGTATGTTTATAATATCAATTGATTATCATCAATTGTTAGCAATGTGCTTGTTTAATGCAAAGTATAAGAAAAAAATATTTTGTTAGTTTTCTTTTTGGCAATGAAAAAAATCTTTATAGTTGGATAAAAAACTAATTAGGAATAATCTCGAGTATGACTCTCTTTTATCAGTGTAGATAAGTAACTAGCATTTGTATCCAATCAGCAGACATATTAATATTAATTGTAATGTGTCATCATACTCGTAAAAAGATAATTTTCTCAATAGATGTAAACGTTGATTGATATTCGTATTTCATCAAACGTACTATTGGATTGATTCAGACTTTAAAATTTCTCACATCATCAATGTGTATTTCATCATAGAAAGAAAACTTTATCTAATGAGTTTTTGTCTTCGGACAAAAACAATATATAAAAAACAACAGATTGTTATTCTTATGTTGCACATGAATATTCGATTAGTCTTTTTTGAATTAGAATAATGACTGAAGCTTTTATTATTTAAATATACTTGCTAGAATATTTTATAACAGTTTAAAGAAATCAATAAACATTACAATAGAATAAATATACATAGAACCAAGACAGGATACTGTACATAGAAATTTTACAAGAAATAGAAATGTTTTATATAATTGAAGGCTTTTGTGGATCTGATGTTTTAACTTCAATTTTAGTTGGTATTGTATGTCCATGAGGTGCATTAGAATCATGTGATGCTGATACATTATGAGCAGTACCTGTTGTTGATATATGTACATCACCTTTAGTTTGAAATTCATCAGCTAAAAAGATCGAATTTAATTAAAAATTAATTTTGATTTAAAATTATTTTACCTTTTTGTTGAGCATCATGTTTGACTTCTAATTATTAAAACGAAAAAAAATAAAAGTAATCAAAAAAATAAAAATTCTTTTTTTTTCTTAATAAATTCTCTACCTTCAGCTTTCTTTTTTGTATTCGATGCTAATTCATTAGCTTTATCTTTTGCTTGATCAATATTATGTGAAGCTTGATCTTTTAATTCACCAGCTAAAATAAATTCATCATTATATTAAATTATTAAGAAAAATTTATTAAACCTTTTTGTTGAGCATCCTGTTTGACTTCTAAATATTAGAAAAAAAAAATTAAATTAAAATTATTGATAAAATAAATCAATTATTGTTCGTAAAATACCTTCTCCTTTCTTTTTAGCATCAGATGCTACTTCATTAGCTTTATCTTTTGCTTGATCAACTTTCTCTGATGCTTGTTCTTTCAATTCAGCTCCTATTCGATGTAAAATAATTTTCAAATCATGTTCTATTCAATTAAATAGGATTTTTTTAAATACCTTTTTCTTTAGCTTTATCGGCTGCTTCTCCGGCTACATAATCAAATAAAAAAACATGTTTTCATAATGATTCTGTTTTTGCTTTTGTTTATTAAAATTTACCCTTTGCCGTAGCATCGTTCGCTAATCCGGTAAGACTAAAGCAAAAGAAAAAATATAATACACAATTAGAGGAAAACAAATTTGCTAAAATAAAAATACCTATGAATAGCTTCTTGTGCTGAGTGCATAGTAGCTGAACCGACTTCAGAAGCTTTTTCAGCAGCCTATGAAATAAAAAACAATATATTAAAACTTAGTAATAATAACAAGTAAAAAATTAACTAACCCATTGTCCAGCAACACTAAGTTTTTCACCAACAAAACTAGCTGCATTAGCAGCAGCTTCTGGAATATTTTGTACAGTTTCAACAACCTATAAATATTAGAAAAAAAAACAATACAGCCCATAGTAAACATTTTTAAAAACACTGAAGGTTATCCAGTATACAGAGGTGATACGGTATTTGAACTTACAGTATGTGAAAGTTCTTGTACTTTTTCAACTGTAACATCTTTAGCATGAATAGCTGTTCCAATGATAATATTTGTCGTACTTTCAACATTATCTTTAACTTCATCAGCTTTCTTTGATGCATCATCAGCTAATTGAGCACCTAAAAATAAAATTCATATAAATAAATTTGTTTGAAAAATTAAATAAATTCTATATACCAGCTTCTTTTGTTTGTTCTATTTTTTCATTCACTTTTGGTTTTATCTCATCAACTTTTTTTTGTGCAGCATCTTTAACTTCACCAGCTTTTTTTGAAACATCATCAGCTACTTGAGCACCTAAAGAAAACAAAAATAAAGATTCAATGAATAATTTGTCTAATAAATAGATTTTAGAATTAGTGTTATTCGTATTGACGATATGTACCTGCTTGTTTAGTATCATTAATAGTTTCATCAACTTTAGGTTTTATTTCATCAGCTTTTTTATTAGCAGCATCTTTTACTTCATTCAACTTATCTTTAGCTGCATCGGCAGCTTCACCAGCCTTCTCTTTCATTTCAGCACCTGATAGTTAAAATTAGATATAGACCTCAATAGTTAGGAGATAGTCTATTTTTTTAATACCTTTTTGTTCTGCTTGATGTTTCCATTCAGCTCCTTTTTGTTCTGCTTGATGTTTCAATTCAGTTCCTTTTTGTTCTGCCTGATGTTTCAATTCAGCTCCTTTTTGCTGAGCATCATGTTTTATTTGTTCTCCCGATTTTTGCTCTATTAGAAGAAAAAAAGAATAAAAATTCATTGAAAATAAATATTTACAAAAAGAAACCCTATTGAATCAGTTATTGAGATTATTTTTCAGATATTTATTCAAATAAAATTCAAGGTATAAACTAAAATATGCATGTATCGAGTCGAAACGTGGAGAGTTCAATAAGTTCGAATTCAAATTTAGTTGCAGTTATTTTTAGTTAATTAATAGAAATAACTAGGAATAAACTAAAAGAAAAAATTTCATGGTTGATTACGAATAGAGTTACAAACAGTTGAATACATGACGAGAAAACTGAAAGATTTCAAACATCCTAAACAATCAATCAACCATATTTCAAAATACTCGAATTTGATCAAAACTCAAGGTTCGTCTATGAGTATTCAGACATCACTAGAAATATTTAGGTAATCGTCTAAATATTCAACACTGTCTGAAGCGATTTAATCATTTCTGAACATCGAACTAGAATTCGTCTTAGGAACATGCCTGCCTAAACTGAACTGACATATTCCTATTTAAAAATTTGGCTTTTGCTTACCATGAGTATGAGTTCTCGTATCATGAGCATTAGAAGCATTTGCATGTTGATTATAATTATTATTTGACATCGTTGTGTGCGTATATTAATAAGAAAGTAATATCTGAAAGTAATTAAATATACTACATTAATATTGCTCGCTCACACTCTTTCTCTAAGTCCAAGCACATGTAATCGACATAACAAATCAATGCCTCCACATCGATATTTACTCGTATTTATATACTATCATTATTTTTAAACGAAACAATGTATATTAGTCAGTCGGACAGAGTTTATTCTAGATTGAATTGAATCATACTTCTAGAATAGAAGAGAGAAAAAAAAACAAGATTTTTATGTAGCAGCTTAAATTCATTACTATTCGCATTTTTTTTTCTTTTTCTTTTTCTTCTTCTCGACCTCTCGCTTACAAATACCACTACGCATAGACTACACTCAACAACCTTCCGAATGAAGAGAAGAAAAAGTTTTAGCTCGACAAAGAAAAGGGGAAGAAAGGAGACAAACGTTATTACCACGTGACGATTAAGTCAGAGAGTTAAAATCAATACAACTAGAATATTCTTTTTTTCTCTATTCGAAATGATCATGACAACATTCGGTTTCATCCATGGCTCACTATTTCTTGTTTTCTTGTTTTCTTGCATTCCTTTTTTCTTATATTTTTGACTTGTTGTGTCGTCCGTTATTTATATCTTGTGCTTTAGTCATAAAAAAAAAAGCCAACGACGTAATGCGCGCATATACTCCCTAAACTCATAGGAAATGTAAAAATATTAAGTAAAAATGTAATGTGTATGTGTAACGTGTCTTTATTTGCAAAGTAAATAGAAAAAAATTGAAAAAAAAAGAAAAGACGACATTTTTATTGTTAAACTATATTCTAATTAACAACCTTGAAAATTAGGTTGCCGTTTTTCTCGAAAAGCACTTCTTCCTTCATTAATATCATTGGAATTTTGACATGCATCAATTGCTGTTTTTATAGCTAAATGATCATTTCCATTTTCAATCATTACTTTAATTGAACGTACAGATAATGGAGCATTACATGATATTCTTTGAGCTAAATCCAATATATATTGATCTAAATTATCATGATTATCACATATATATTGAATTAATCCTATAGAATAAGCTTGTTGAGCAGATATTCGATCACCTGTATAAAGTATCATTTTAGCATGAGATTCACCAACTAATTTGATTAAACGATCAATTATATCTTTTGGACATGATAAACCTAATTTAACAGCTGGTATACTAAAAGAAGCATTTTGAGATGCAATACGAATATCAACACTCATAGCTAATGCAAGACCACCACCTAAACAATAACCATTGATTTTTGCAATAATAGGTATTGGAAATTGAAGAAGTTTAATACGTATAGTTGGTATTGCATGACTAATATCATCATCTTCTTTTTCGGATAAATCAGCACCTGAACAAAATGATATTTGACCATGACCAGTTAATATTAATACACGTATAGTTTTATAATTAAGAAGGCAATCATCTAATAAATTTGATAAACCTAACCACATTTGACATGATATAGCATTACGTTTTGATGGATTATTTAGTGTAATACATCCAATATGAGATGATTTGTCAAGAATATCGAATAAGATAAGACCAGATGCATATTCTTTTGTAACAAAAGATTCACTCATTTATCTATACTATTAAAGAATCAATGATGTATACTTATCATTAATAATTAAAAATAAACATTTAAATTCTTTTCTTCTTATCAATATAGTATAAATAGATTAAATGAAATATAAATGTTCTATTAATAGGTATACTTGAATTTAATCCTCAATTAGCTGGTCAAGATATAACTCCAGCTAATCTTGAATTTGGTTCAATAACATCTCGTCGTCGTGATCGTCGAGGAAAATCTTTTAGTGGTGCATCTGCATATCAAGGTAAAATTTGACATAGTCAATTATTTTACATATTTTTTGTTTTCTAATTTAGGTAATCAACCTCCATTTTATTCTCATCAACCATCACTATTTACAACAATTAATGATGAATTAGTTCCATTGGTTTGTATAATGAAAATCTTAAGTTTACTAGTGAATATTTTTTCTTTGATTTTTCTTTTTTAGGCATATCAATCTCAATCATTTGATCCATATCAATCAAGTGTTGAATATCGTTTACAAGAAATAACTAAGTAATTATTTATTCATTAATTTTCTTTAAATTATTTTTATTTTTTATTTTTAGACGATTATCTACATTAGAAACAAAATTAACTGAAGATGTATCTACTGTTCTTTCAATACTTCGACGTCAATTTCCAACAAATAATTTATCAATATCTTTATCTTCAACTGATATATTAAAAACTAGTTCTTAAAAAAAAAAAATAAAAGAAAGTCTTCTGTGATAATCTATTTCTCGCTCTCTATCTCTCTTTTTCTCCCTTCTTGTGTTTTTTGTTGCACTTTGAAAATCTTGAACTGATAAAAAAGGAAAAAAACCTATGAATTAAATTTACCTCTTCTGTGTTTGTGTTTATATAAGTTCCGTCCTTTTGTTACCCCTTGTACCTTCACGTCGACCGATAGCAATATGTATTTTGTTTGGTGTATTAAATAAAAAAGAACTGCAATATAATATTCATGCTATGGTCTATTAACTGATGCTTCGAATGTGCTTATCTATTTATCTTTATTCTTAAATGCACTACGTGGTAATTTTTTTTATAACCCAGTTATACATTAAGATTTATAAATATTGCAAATCAGCGTAAATTGTATAGTATTACTGCTAAATATTATGCTGATCATTTTTAGAAAAATTAATAGATGACGCTCTGTACTGATCATCGGTATTCGAGGCAGAATGCTATGCTATCAAAGAACATGAAAATTATTTAGCTCTCACAAAATCCATCAAATCTTAATAGGAAACCAAATCATGTTAGAGTTTTATTAGAACATTAAGATTTGATTATTTGTCATAAAGATGACGTTAGTTAATAACAGTAATAAAATAAAGAAAATAAAAAGTGGTCAGATGAAAATATCATATAACAATCTTGAAAACAATCGCTATTTTTTCTGTGAAATTGTCTTTGTTATCAACCGAATTATAAAATGAACTAAGCAAGTGCATTAATAGATTTGTTTTAAAAATAATGGGATGCGTCATTCGCATTGAATTAATAGATAATAACCATCTCCTGTGGACTTCTTTAAACAGTGTCCATAATCACTTAAAGAAAAAAAAAACAGTATAGGAAAACTATATTATATTATTGAGCGAAAAAGATAACATTCAATAGAGGGCGCTGTGTGTTGATAAAACAAATACTGTTTTTGTAATGTATAAAAAAAGGTTAAGATTTATATGTCAAATCTTCTAAACAAATTGAGACTAAATTATTTTCGCATAGAAAAAATTCATTGCCATTTATTTCTTTTATTACACAAAGAAAGTTTGTAATGAGGAATTTCTTTTAGGTAGGATGATTTTTTATACTATTTATGAATTATGATAAATAGATTAACAGTCTTTTTTGTAAAAATTGATTTATTTTATGTTAAAAACTCCTAATAAGTTGGATTTATCGATATATCAATGTATGTGATTTATCATCTTATTAGAGAGAAAAACGTAAATTATGTAATGAAAATGTATGTTCATTTTAAAAATATGCGCTATATTCCATGCATCAAAATCAAGTATTTTAGAGTACACACTGTCTCATTTTGAGTTCTTACGTCTCATAAAAAACGATTCCTCTGAGATACACATTTTGTATTCTATTTGAACAGTTTTCCCTTTAGTAAATATAATGAACAGTATGTTGATAAAAACTGTGAAGAATTTTTACTCCAACCACCTTTTTTTTTTTGTATGTCCGTAGAACACGATTATTGTTATCAAATTATGGCTTAGCTTTATCACTTATTTTATTCCATCATTTAGAAGGTTAAAATTAAAGAAAAGTCCAATAGACCAATAAAAGTAAAATGTGAATGGTTTTGTATATTTATAAAGACTTAGCATGAATCAATAAATATAGTAAAAGAAAATAAAAATATACCTTTATTCTAATAGATGAAGATACATACAGGTTTTATTTAAACATTATTTTTCGAGTAAAATAGAGCCTTATCATTACAGATAATTTACGAAAGAGATAAGTTTGATATCCTATTATTTTTTTTTTATTTTTTCGGCTTACGAAGTTCGTCAAAAATATATCAAAGTTATTTTAATTCTGAAATAAATCAAAACAAAAGAATTACTGTTACAAATATATCTTTGATGATATAGGACATACTTGACAATTAGGGCTAGCATACCGTAATTTCTAAATAGAGTACACTAGATTTAAATTCGGATGCAATTGCGGTACAATTTTTTTTACTATGAAGTATATAGTTGAGGTATATAACTCTTGTGTGACAACTGTGAAAAGAAACTTATTTTCTAGAAAACAGCATTACATTTATCTTTTCTCATTAAAAATCATTACTTGAAAAACAATTTCATCATAGAAAACAATACAAAATTCATTATTAATACATGTTATGTTGCTGAAATCAGTTAGAACAGGTTTTTTTTACATTTCTAGACTTTTCTTTACTTCTAACATGTTTGATCAATTCTGGTTGATATTGTATAAATATTAAAGATCACTACATTTCATCGAAAAGTTCAATCTTGTTTTTATTCAGCACCTGTGGTATCACTTAGAAATGAATTTCGACTATTTGTGTATGAATACTTCATATGACTAAAAACACACTCTGTAAATGCATTAGAACAAGGAATTGAATACATATAAGAAATAAGTTTTGGTTTTTCGTCATTATTTCTTGTGATTATTGTTACTAAAGGAAAAAAGGCGAAAATCAATAGAGAATGGATATGACAGCTGTGCTAAGTGAGAACGGAGTCAAAGACTACGCTCACATTCCCACCATCATTCCTTGAGTAAAAAATCTGAATCTCAACCAATTTTTTAAATATTATGTTCAGCCAAATATGATATAAAATAAGCATATAAAAACAAAAAAATAAAAGACACATCGAACTTTCTTTCAATAAATAAATAAAAAGGTTAGGACACATTCGAATAAACGAAATAGATGTCAATAATCGTTGGTGAATTTTTCACCAATGTTATTGAATTCGAACGTCTCTACAGCGTACCATGAGCTCTATTGAAAATCACAGCTTATTCCAATTATAGACCAGTTTATGACACTAAAACCTCGAAAACCAAAATGGGACACAAAACAGGACACATATGACAATCCTACTAAAAACATGCATTAATTGCTACTATTATTCACAATTATTACTTTTTTTGATAACTCTAGTCCCAGTCAATATCTTTTGCGTGTTGAAAGTTGTTGAACATGTTTGGTACAGGCCGCATGTTCCAAACTCCGTTTGGCATACCAGGAAAAACTCCAGGAAACTTTGTGTTTGAAGTGCTGCACCTATAGGCCCATGAATTGCCACTTCTCCATGTTTGACACTTCATGCCGCTGCGATCGGGAGAAGGAACCCATCCAATGTCACTGTCTTCTTCTAAAATGATAATAGATGTAAAAACAAAAAGTTGTCGTGTGATTAATATATGAAAGTCTGCAAACAATCAAAGTATTTATTCAGAATCAATGTCTGTAAGAGTCAGATGATTCAAGAAGTTGATAGTAACTGAATTTCATGAAACTTTCAAGTTTTTGTGGACATGATGTTTGCTGTCGAATAGCGTGTCCATAAAAACCTGAAAGTTTCATTGAAAATCTGATTGTTACGAACATTATCTATTGAGATCGATTTTCATTCTCATCGTTCTCTGATCTGAAAACACAAATTTTACGATTTCGTTTTTTTATCATTAGGACATCCCTGACGTGTCACCGATCCAATGTTTTATAAATGGCAAACATTCGTTATTTGTTTAATGTTTTTATAAAAGCCAACTTCGAAAACTTCTAGCAGAAAAAATGCAGTGACGTTTTAATTATCCATTAAAGTCTCCTCATCACAATGACGATATTGTATTTTAACATGCATTGAGGATCAATCATGGATCTCTGACATCGCCAAGCTTGATCAAACTTTCACCGATTTCATGGGAGAAATAAAAAAGTTGATGCATACAGAACACTAAATTTCACAGTCATTCCGTGTCTCTCAAAATCAGTTTTTATACAAAAAATTCACTGAATTGTCTCTGTATCTTTGACAAAGAACGACCGATCGAGCTAAAAATTTTTCCCAGACACTAAACAGTAAGTGATGTAGGTGCTTTTTTTGTTTTAAAAAAACTTACTCTGTCAACCTTCGCCAGATATTACAAGATTTGCTGTGGTAAAATAAGTTATTTTTAGAATACTTTTCGTATTCTTGGAGTTTTTCTTGAAGAGAACAAAGTAACAAAAGAGCAAAAAACTATCCACTTCAAATAATCTCTAGTATTTGTAAAACAAATTCTAACTCAATTAGACGTTATAGTCCAGAGAAATGAAGACAAAATAAGGTTATCTTGATACGTTGGTACTCTGACACCTCATACAATGAAGTATTATGTAGACTTGGACCCAACACACATTTCGATCTGCTGTGCAAGATCTATCTGTTCTGGAAGTTTCAAACTTTTCTGATTGATCGTTCCCTAGTAACATCCAACAAGGAGAGGGGACGTATTCTTAGGAACTCAAAAAAAAATCTGTATCTATGTATTTTTCTGTTTCAAAAAAATAACTGACCTGATTCATTAGGTGCTGCGGTTGTTGTACTCGTCCGCTGCGGCTTTTTTGATGTTGTGCGATTCGGTGAGTATCTTTTTCCGTATATTTTTTGCATTTCTCGCACGTCTATCTCTGGTATCATGGCCTGTTTTTGAAATGGAAAATAGCGTTTGTACATAATGGCCTGATTGTTGATATCGTGATCTAATCCGAGAATGTGGCCTATTTCATGAATAGCAACAAGATAAAAATTGAATTTTCCTTCTGATATATCGCCGAATCTGAAATAACAATAACAGCAAAAGGTCATTGATTTTCTCAAGCAGAATTGTCACATTTTGTTAACTCACTCTTCTGTCCAAGACTCTTCGTTGTCAAAAGTAATGGTAGCTTTTCCCTCGCTTATATATAATCCGTCTGACTGGACTCTGGCTATTGCCAGATCGCCTCCTCGACGACCTGAAAAGAAAAGCAATATACATAATACTGAAGAAACTGTAGACAAAACAAAAAGGAGCAAGACACATACCATCTAAATAACCCATTGAGAGCAGAATGTCTGCTGAGCAGGTGGAACATTTTTCACTGAAAGTCAGTGGAACAACATCGGACCACTTTTGAAATGCTTCGGCAAGCAACTGTTTCGTTCTCTGAGCACCGATTTGTGGTGGCGTGGAACCACGAAATGACCAAGTGATATGATTCTTTTTCCACTTTATTCCAAATGCCAAAGGCATGCCATTTTTGTCCTTGTTTACATCTTTAACTCCACATCCCGGTTGATCCACGGATGTTATAAGTACTGGCCCTGACTGAATAGATACAATGATAGCTACGGTCCAAATAATTGTGATAAAATAAAATATCATCTTGAGTTTGACTACAACCTAAAATGAAACAATCAGTATGATTATTCACAGTGAACAGTTCTGATATGACTCTTTCAAAAAGAACAATATTTTTCTTCAAAACAAAGATACTATGAAAAAGAGTTCTCATCGCATTTACGACTTACCACTTTTTTTTTTAAATAATAGAAGAGTTGATTAAAGCCTGTGTGATGTTGCTATCGATTATATAGCACAACTTGGTACAAAACTCCATCATATCAATCAAAAACTATGGGAGGCTTCCCACACGAATTGGTCAAAGTGTATGACAGTTTGGTTCTGATAGACATGCGTCATATCTAGGTCGCCTATTTTGTTCTGTTCTGCATGTACTTTCTCAATGACGTGCTATATGCTAGAGAAATCAACATAGAAGAGCGCAAAAGATGACAGTCTCTATCTTCTGTAACACAACCACTGAATATGTAGGGAATTCTCCCGAAAGAGTTGGTTATAATAGTATGGGAATTACTCATACTGTCATAACTAAACAGAATAAATACCGAGTCGCTTTTCTCTCTAAATAGAACAAGAATTCTTGATACACTTCAATCTTTGAAATGATGTCCGATGATAAAACACTAAAGATTAAAACTAATAATGACAAGATGAACATTCTAACAATTTGTGCGATGATTTTCTCGATCAGCCTTGCTTGTATTACGGGACTAGCAATTGGTCTTTTATTTCAGCAAAGTCGATCAGCATGTTCGCCCAAATGTCGTAAGTTCAACACTGGTTTGAGACAAAAAAAAATAATGAAGTGAGTCAAATTTTTTCTGTTACAGGCAGTAATTTTCTAACAAAAGTGAGCGAGACTGATGAAGATGGTAACATTTTCATTGGTCAGATTGATAATAACGGTAAAAGACAAGAACATGGCATTTTAGTCTGGGCTCAATTAGGAATGACCTATGATGGATATTGGAAGGATAATTCTAGAGTAGGCATTGGTGAACTAATATGGAGTGACGGACATCGCTATAAGGGTCAATGGAAAGATAATGAACGATCAGGCTTGGGTGTGATGCAATGGCCGAATGGACAACGCTATATAGGTAAATTTTGCATGCGAAAACGAGTTGACTAGTTTTCTATACTGTTGTTATTCTAGGAGCATGGTTAAACAACAGACAATATGGTGAGGGTATTCAATTCTATCCAGATGGACAGATGTATCGTGGCACATGGCAAAACGACCTTCGATCCGGCCTAGGTATTCAAATTGAAACCGATGGTGCCAAATACGAGGGTCAATGGTGGTCTGACATGAAAGATGGTAATGGTACCTACACGGACAAAGACGGCAATAAAATTGTAGGTATCTGGAAGAGTGACGCACTACATACAGTACTTTTAAATGTTACTCTTGAACTTTAAAAATAAATATGAGGTCCTTAAAACAATAGACCGAACGTTTACATGAAATGATTTGAAAAGAAACCTAATATTCTACAAACTTCAAGATGTTGTTCCCAGATAGTTCTGAAGCGGTTACAAACAGCATAAAAAGTGGTCATTACGAGTTTTTCTGTTGTGATGCTCATGTTAACGTCGGAAATCGGGATTTTGTGGAATAATCATTGAAACTGTTACTCAGATCACCACCGCCTACGAAATAATAGGTGATAGTCACTTATAATTGTGCTTTCTCCTTGCAAAATTTCAATAAATGTCAAAAATAGCTTGTTTTCTTACCTAGTTCTTCATCTGAGGGATATTGAGGGGTGTCCAAGGACTGAGGTTTGGGAATTCTTCCAATTCCTAAAATCACCAGCTAAAAGTGATATATCCCTCGAGGAACTGAGAACTGACCCTCAAGCACTTCATGAAACCTCCTCGGTTCGTCATCAACTCCTTGTCGTGAATGAATCACAAACCTTGGCAACGACAGTTCTCAAACCACGATACCTACTCATTTCCTCCCGTGGGTATTGACCACCGACAGTTCCTCAGATAAGGAATCGAGGAAATAACTAGAACTAACGGTCAATACCGATCGGGGGAACTGACACCAACATTAGCCACCATCATTCGAATCCCATAAGAAGAATCCAGACAATAACAATTACCACACCAATGCGAGGAGGCGCCGGGGAACTAAGGAATTGTGACAGTTCTGTTGACAGTTCATAGGAACTGAGGTGGATACCTAGAAACTCTCTAGGTATCCACCTTCGTTCCAAGGAACTGTCACAGTTCCCCAGTTCTCAGGTTTTTTTTCTATATATGGTATAATTTTAGTATCTAAAGAGTACTACGTCATTACCTCAATTCTCTCGGGGAACTGAGGGTAGGTACCGTGCAGGTATCCACCTCAGTTCCTAGGAAGTGTCAGCAGAATTGTCACAATTCCTCAGTTCCCCGGCTTTTTTCTGTATCCGATGTGATTTTAGTATCTAAAGAGTACTACGTCGTTACCTGAATTCCTCGCGGAACTGAGGTAGATGCCTAGAAGGAACCTACCCTAAGTTCCTATTACTTCGAGAAGGATTGATTAGCTGAGTCGTATACCCCTTCGATAATAGGGATAATTCATTAGTTTTCCTGGGGAATTGGTCACGGAAATTTCAACCAAGGAATTGTCATTTAGAACTAGGCAGAGCTGTGGGAGATATGTCACAGAGATGTCCATCGCGGCTGAAAATCTGCCGCTGCCGCGCCGTGGCCTTAGAAAAAAAAAGGTGCCGCACCGCTGCCGCGCCGCGACGGTTTATAAAAAAATGTTGCCGCGATGAATTATAAAATAAACGTGCCGCCATCGCGCCGCTGCCACGACGGCTTTCAAAAAAGTGTTTCTAATTTCACTGCTGCGACTATATTTGACCAGAGATATGGGTACTAGTCCATCAGATTTATTCAATATCAGGGCGTTTTATTTGTAAATCCTGAAATTCTATTAAATTCATACAGTTTTTCAATGCCCTCCAAAAAATATTCTGCCGCTGCCGCGATGGTTTTTTAAAAACTCTGCCTCTACCGCGCCGCTGCCGCGATGACTTTAAAAAAAATCTGCCGCTGCCGCGGTGATTTTTTAAAAAACCTGCCGCTGCCGCGCCGCCACCGCCATCGCGGCAGCGGCAGCGCCGCGATGGACATCTCTGATATGTCAAGGGAACGAGAAGGACTGGGGCTTTTGATTTTTTTCTGATATAAACTCTATACTTCTTGGGAGGCTTTCTTGATTCATTTAAGGCAGCATAGATACTAAGGAAAGATTTAACTTCTGCTGACAGTTCCTGGGAACTGAGGTGGATACCTACGCGGTATCTACGCTCAATTCCCCAGGGGAATTGAGGTAACGACGTAGTACTCTTTAGATACTAAAATCACATCGGATACAGAAAAAAGCCGGGGAACTGAGGAATTGTGACAATTCTGCTGACACTTCCTAGGAACTGAGGTGGATACCTGCACGGTACCTACCCTCAGTTCCCCGAGAGAATTGAGGTAATGACGTAGTACTCTTTAGATACTAAAATTATAACATATATAGAAAAAAAACCTGAGAACTGGGGAACTGTGACAGTTCCTTGAAACGAAGGTGGATACCTAGAAAGTTTCTAGGTATCCGTCTCAGTTCCTATGAACTGTCAACAAAACTGTCACAATTCCTTAGTTCCCCGGCGCCTCCTCGCATTGGTGTGGTAATTGTTATTGTCTGGATCCTTCTTATGGGATTCGAATGATGGTGGCTAATATTGGTGTCAGTTCTCCCGAACGGTATTGACGGTTAGTTCTAGTTATTTCCTCGATTCATTTCTGAGGGATTGTCGGCGGTCAATACCCACGGGAGGAAGTGAGGAAATGAGAAGGTACCGTGGTTTGAGAACTGTCGTTGCAAAGGTTTGTGATTTATTCACGACAAGGAATTGATGACGAACCGAGGAGGTTTCGTGAAGTGCTTGAGGGTCAGTTCTCAGTTCCTCGAGGGATATGTCACTTTTAGCTGGTGCGTTTAGGAATTGGAAGAATTCCCAAAACTCAATCCTTGGACACTGCTGGGGATATTAGTGAGAATGCTTTTTTAATACAATATCATGATAATCGTATAATATAAGTAAATATTAATCTTTATAGAAAGTTCAACAAGTCAATTGAATCAACTTAGATAACATCATGGTACTAGTAAAAACTCTGTAGAGTGAACATTCAAAATATTTAAAAGTGTTTACTGTACAGAGGAGTACCCTTTCATCTATGGATCAGAGCATATCGGAATAGAAGTTGAACAAAGATAATTAACGCCAAGTACCTTTTTTTCTAGTTGATCTAAGTCAAGAAAACACACTTATATGTCACCATACGAAGGCTTTCACTAAGAAATAATCGATTTCCAGCAAAAACTTTTCAGCACGAATTTAGATTGCTCAATGTAATGAGATGTTGACGATGTCAATTTTTACTCTACATTTAATATGAATTGAAAAGTATTGATAAATAGAAAAATTGAATGAATCTAACAGACGAACGTGTCGATTTTATTATTACAATCAACCTGTAATAACAACTAAACCTACAGCTGCAAGAAAGGTTCTTTCCACTTGAGCTGAATAAATTATGACTGAAAAACTTGGATGAGTATGGATATGTCATTTAGAGTACTGGTCTTCTTTTCGATTATACTCATACTCACATGCTCAAGCAAGCAATGATATAAATTTAAACAACATGAAAACAAAAGAAAATGTATGGTTAATCTTGTTAATAATTATTGACAACTTCGGTGTAACTGGACAAACCTTGGAATGGAAAAAATTTTCAAAGAAAATGATGTCAGTTTTCCCTTCTCAATTAGCGATAATTCATTAGTTGAAAACCAATTCTGTAATGTTTTGAAAACAAAATTTGATATTTTTATGCTCTGATCATGATAATTCTCTCTCTGAGAAAGACATTCAATAAATAATTGAAATTGTACTTTACTAATACTTGCTCTTTCAATCATTATACGAAATGAAGACTGATAATAGATCAAAAGTTTCTTTTTTTCTTTTTATTAAAACGTTGAATCTCATAGATTATGAACAGATCTCTTTGAAGGAATATTCAATCTCTGATTATAGTTAAATTTGAATTCTGTTCATATACATATTAAATTAATATTTTATAACACTGAAAAATATTTTTTTAAATGTTGTTTAAAATAAGAGATCAATCGATTTTGAAATCAGAGCTTTTTATTTTCGTATTTATGTGTGGTTACATTCGATTGACATTCATTAAGTTTTCTATTGACTATGCACATTACATCATACACATTTTGACATTGTCATTAAAAGATGGACAGAAAAGAGTTAAATATGGAACATAAGCTCATTGGTTCAAACGACCTCCTAGGGTGAGCTACATATAGACTTTTACATATAGCATCTTTATCTGGCGTACCTTCGTAACCTTTAAGAAATAATCTGTTTGTTTTTTAGAATTAATAAATCTATTTTTCTTGCATAGAGCGACGTCTGTAATAAAGAGAAGCTATTTTTAATTGGTCATACCATTATTAACCAATCGAATAGGTTTTCAACTGGACAAAGCTATGAGTCTTTTTTTTATCGATTGAATATGGAACGTTTGTTTGAAAGTAAAATGAATAATACAATTGATAAAATACTCACTGAATATCAACAAAGAACTATTTTACATGTTATTTCATTTTATTAATAAAAATGACAAGTAGAATAAATTGTTTTATTTTTTAATATTTATAAAATAATAATTTGTAATTTTTTCGTTATATTTTTTATACATATATTTATCTATTACAGATATGAACAATCAAGTCACAAACACTTCATCGACAAATCATGAAGGTAAAAAAAAGCAGAAAGAAAATTTTGTGAAACACGATGTAAAAGAACTATTGAAGTATTGGGTTGAAAATTTGGATCCATCCTCCTCTCTGTTACAAACCGTGTAGACGTCGTTATAGTTATTTAATTAAGTTTATTAATTATTTAGAGCAAAATGTTCTTCCAACAACGAGAGAACCACAACAGCAACAACAACAACAAATAAATGTTGTGGATGATGCTACACTTCAAGCTGTACTTAGTTCAATGAGTGAAGCAGAAATGAATGCTTTTCTTGAAGAATTAAATAAAACAGGAAAAGCATGTAAGAAGAAAAAAAACAAGAAACTAATCTATTATTTAATCATTTAAATACGCGCCATTTCTTTTTTTTGTAGTCTTACCTGGTATAGGTCAAACGATAGAATTATTAACTGTTGCTGCACCTGCTGAATTACCAACAACAACAGCAGCAGCAACTCAAGCATCAGCTGAGACTCTTCTTCAAGAACTAACAACACTTATTCAACAACCACCAGTTGATATTGTCCCTATAAATATTGAACAAAAAGTAATTGGTACAACACC